TGGTGAAGGCAAGTAGCAGTACGTCTCCAATACGGGTTGTATTCAACGCCTCGAGTCCTATGAACAATGGGATTTCGTTAATGATCTGCTGCTAACAGGTCCCAAGTTGCAGACGGAGCTTTTATCTATTATGNCTCTCTCTCTCTTCTCGTCTCTCTCTTTCTGCTTCCCGGTTGAGACCGTACCCTGCATAAAGTCGCTCGCCAAAACGCAAAAATCGCTAAAAAATATAAATATAAGTAATACGCGGGACGGATGCGCGGGGCGCATTCTCCGACGCGGAAAAAACGCAAAAATTATATTTGGGTGCTTTCTCTCTCTCAAAGGTTGGCGAGAGAGCAAAGGTCCCGAATTTCTCGCCTTCCCGGCCGGGCCGTCGGCCCTTGTGACGGACAAAAAATGTCACGTCGCAAGTTATATAACTTTACTTTATACTTACAAACATAACTAAGTTATGAACTATTATATTACTTTGTTATAGCATTCACCATAGTAGGTGAATACTATAACAAAGTAATATAATAGTTTCATAACTTAGTTATGTTTTGTAAGTATAAAGTAAAGTTATATAACTATAATATAAATATATTGTAACATGTATTACATTACATGTTACTTTTTAGTAATGTAACTGTTATATTTTTATAATGTAACGTATGTTATATTATATGTTTCACTAGGTTATATAATATTTATATTCTGTGTTTGCTGGGCTATAACATATCTAAATAGATCTACACTTCATTCCTCTCGGCCATAGAGCCACACGCGATGTTATTACGACAATTAAGAAAGAAAGAAAATTTGGAAACTAAAGAATTTGAATCCTATGGTTGGGATTTCAGAAATTTCCCTTGTTCCCTCTCTTAACTTCCCCTGTAAAGAAATAGGCGAGAAAAATATTGGTCGAAAGTCGGCTGAATCGGGAATCGAACCCGAGACCTTCCGCTTGGCGGGCGACTGCTCTTCCAACTGAGCTATTCAGACACTTACGAATCAATATTTCTCTCAATGTTTATACCCCCAAAGCGTCGTAATTAGGCCAGACGCGACGAAATAATAATAAGAATATTTAAGTCGGCTCCTTGATTTTTAAAAACACGATCTACTTAATTGTCGCAATAATATCGCGTGTGGCTCTATAGCCGAGGAATGAAGTGTAGATCGCGTTTTTAAAAATCAAGAAGCCGACTTAAATATTCTTATTATTATATCTAAATAGCATTTTAATCAGTGAGATGTAAACTTTTATACAGCTTTATCAACAAAACTTATAAATTATAACATTTTATACTTCAAAATAATAAAATAAAAAATAACAAGAAGTAATCAAGCGCCAATAAATAATAAAACAAATTAAAAAATAATTAATTTAACAAATTTAAATAAAAATCAAGCTCGTCGTCATTTAAAAAAAATAAAAATTGATATTATAAAAGGCCTAAAACGAGCGGTATTTATAAAATATTATAAAAATTTATTATTAATTACAAACGTTTTGAACATTAACTGATGTCTTCTTCAGTGTATAATTAGGTACATTACATTAGATGCAAATGAATTACGCATTTTTAACCATGTGTTGGTAATCAAACGGTGTCGATATTTATGTTAAACTTCATGGTTGTCCAATATAAGAATTGCTTAGTCAAGATGGTATGTGTCTGGATATAGTACATCATGATTATTCCTCATGATTATACTAAACGGCCTTACTGCGGCTCGCGAAATCTGGTTTTTAGAAATGTCCACTACAGATGCGAACAATTAAAAATAACTGAGTTTTGGAAATATTCGCGTGGTTAAATAACTCCTGGATTCGCGAGAAGGAAGAAAAAATATATATATATATATAAAAATTAAAAACAAAAATTAAATAGTATTAGCGACATCTGACCTATCACTATTTAAAATTCCCAATCAAATAAATAGTCACGATATAATTATTGCAAGCGTCGAATCTAAACCGGTTTTAAAATGGTATCTTCAATTTATATTTGCAGGTACTATACCTAATGGCGTGAAGTACAAGATTTGGCGAATAACAATAAACTGATACATCAACGTAATTTCATCTTTTCAGAATTTTTGTAATTGAGAAAAATGAAGAAATTGATAAAATTGTGTGGAATAAATAAAATTTTTCTTACGCATGTGTTATCGATTAATTACTATTTAAAAGAAATGTTTACATATATACATAATGTCAAACCTAAAATACCTAAAATGTAATATAACATAAATTAAAAAAATAGTATAATTAAAAAAATTTGTGTTACTTGTCTGGTGCTGCATATGAATCTATTTTTTATTGTTAGCAGTATTATTAAAATATAATGCCTCTTTATTTAAGTATTAAATATCTAAAAAACGTTAGAATATGTGTGTGTGTGTGCGTGTGCGTATATTTTTATTTTGTAGCTGGATTAATCAAGTTACTGTCAGTAGAGATTAAAATAACTTTTTTTCTTTGTACGCGTAAATGCTATGTACTAATACATACGTGTACACATATAAATATATATATATTTTTTTTATGTTAAAAAATATGATTCCATTTCAAACAACATAAATGACTCAAATAATCTTAAAAATCGCTGTTTGAGATGCAAAATAAATCTTATCGTCTGTTAATTACTTCGGCAGTAAAACGTTATTAGGATTTTCAATTTATACAAAATTCGATCTCGAAAATAGTTATTTGGTAAATTCTGGAATCATCGATCAGTAATAATAAAGTCACGTTTGTTTTGTATAATAGAATAAAAAGAAGTCGTAAATTTACAGCTGTCACATAAAAAACGCTCAAATATACAAACAAGTAACGGTGTCGCAACCGTTCCGCCGAATAATTACATGCTATTGAGCATGCGCTACTTTAAAAATCACGCAAATTATTGGCGCTTCACGCGAAGGTGGGCTCCGCTCCAAAATTTATAAAAGAGGAGCTCACCCCGGCGTAGGGGCCTTATCGCTTTCCGCCGTGTACGCGTAAGTCAAAACCGCCTCAAAAAAAACCGCAGAACATTTATATCGACAACCGCCGCTCTTTCTTTGATTTGATTTCTCCGCTGAAACTAATTAAACTTTATGTTAATTTTGTGCGTGTAATTGTTAAATATTGTACATTATATTTTAGTAAAGATTCGTATATTAAAGGTTTCTTTATACTACAAGTGACTCATCCTTTGTCGTGTCGCGCGATTCCTCACGCAGCGCGTTCGCGAACATATTTTGGTCCTTCGAGCCGGATCTTCTCGCCGGCACCCGCAAGTTTGTGAACGTGACTTCGTGTAGTTCGTGGGTGCTCTTAGTTCACCATGGATGTGAACACGTTGATCGACTGTCAACGTGAGATCCAGGTCCGCATTTCACGTTCCGTGGAATATTTGAAGAAGCTGGGCACCACCAACATCACCGCCAGTGCCGTATCCACACGCACCAGAATCTTAGATCAGCTGTGGACGAAATTCGAGACACAGCATGATCTCATTCGAGCGGCTCTGAAAGAGAAATTTTGCGAGAGCGATTACTACAAGTCGGAGTTACATGGCGATACGGAAAATCTGTACGTTGCACAACGCAGTACTTTAGATAGTTATACCGAACATTTTCGGAAGCCGAACGTGTCTCCATCCGTCGACGTCGCATCAAAGTCTTCGCTGCCGCGCATCAAGTTGCCGCCGTTCTCTGGCGCCTACGCTGACTGGCCATCCTTTCGCGATCTCTTCCTGTCCGTCGTGAGCAGCAATTCAATCTCGAACATTGAGCGCCTTCATCACCTCCGCTCGTGTCTGACAGGTCCGGCTGAAAAGTTGATAAAGTCACTACCTGTCACGAGTGACAATTACGATCGCGCTTGGGCAATCTTGGACAAGCACTACAATAACAAAAGAGAGTTGATCCGCTCCAACTTTGCCACGTTTACCGCCGTGCCAAAGATGAAGGGAGATACCGCCGAGGAGCTGAGCCGCATTCACAACGCTGTCACCGCCGCAGTCAACGCACAGGAGAGCATCGGACGTCCTATCAACTCGCACGGGATGGATCTGTTCAACCACATGGTCGTCGAATTGTTCGACGCACGCACTCGTCTCGAATGGGAGTCAACCACTTCAGACCCCACCGAACCACCACGGAACGAGGCACTTCTCGACTTCATTAGTCGACGGATCTTGACACTCAACGCCGCACGACCGAGGAGTGTCACAAAAGGATCTGGAGAGACATCACGATTCGTCAAAGCGCACGTCACGAAGCACCAAGGCACAGATTCACCTCAGTGTGTACTGTGCCGTGAAAACCATACACTGATGACGTGCAAGGGCTTCAAGGCCAAGACCGCGGTTGAGCGGAAAACGTTCGTGGAGGCCAACCGACTGTGCTTCAACTGCCTAGGCAATCATTTCCTAGCACGGTGTCAATCAAAAAGGAACTGCCTCACGTGCAACGCGCGACACCACACCATGCTGCACGGGGCAGCCACATCAACACCATCTGCTGAGGCCACTTCACTTGCCACCACACTGGCCACTGCACGGCAAACTGAAACACACAAGGCCGTCCTTCTCGCAACCGCTCGCGTCAAGATCGCTGATCGCTACGGATCACCACACGAGGTTCGAGTCTTGATAGACCAGTGCTCCGAGGTGTCCATCATCTCTGAGGCACTGGCTCAGCGTCTTCGGCTGCCTCGAGCTTCAACAGATCTGTCCATCTTTGGCATCGGAGGGACTCGCTCTGGATCAGCGCGTGGCAAGGTCACGCTAGACATCACATCTGACGTGACCAATGTCGAGCTCCGCGTGGTTGCTTTTGTGCTGCCTCGCATCTCATTGCAGCAAGGCACCTCTCAACGCGAAGATCGTAGCTGGCCTCACATCCAAGGACTTCGACTGGCCGACCCGCGCTTCCTGGACGACGATCCTGCGGAGTTACTTCTTGGAGCAGAAGTTTACGCATTGATCCTCGAGGAAGGTCTTCGCAAGGGCGGATCACGGATGCCGATCGCCCAACAGACGAGCTTAGGATGGATCCTGTCCGGGGGCTACGATGCAGCAGCAACCGAAGGACATCGCAGCACGTTCCAGTGCACCGCAGACCACGACCTCGCTGACATGGTTCGACGCTTCTGGGAGCAGGAACGCGAGCCAGTGGCTGGGACACCGCTTACCGCCGATGAAGCCAGATGCGAGGACATCTACGTGCGCACGGTCACACGCACGTCCAGTGGAAGATACATGGTGAGGCTGCCATTTACTTCACCGCCGCCGACATCGCTCAGCGAGACTCGTCGACCTGCTGAACGCCTACTGGATGCCATGGAGCGGAAAGGAGCACGAGATCGTCGTTTCGGTGACCTCTATCTAGACTTCATGGAGGAATACGAGAACCTACAACATATGGAGAAGGTTAGCACAACTACAACAACTGGCAGCCCCAGGTGTTACTTACCGCATCACGGGGTCCTCAAGGAGTCAAGCACGACCACGAAGCTCAGGGTCGTGTTCAACGGCTCCCAGCGCACACGGTCCGGAGAGTCGCTGAACGCACACCTCCTCACTGGAGCCAATCTCTTGCCAGCACTCGCTGACGTCCTACTTCGTTGGCGTTGGCATCGGTACGTGCTCGTCACGGACATCGAGAAAATGTACCGACAAATCCTCGTGCATCCGGAGGACTGTCGCCTGCAAACTATCCTGTGGCGCCACAACAGCTCTGACGACGTCCACGAGTACGAGCTGAGGACCGTGACCTATGGGCTAGCGTGTGCACCCTTCCTCGCCATCAGGACTCTTCATCAACTCGCAGCAGACGAAGAGGCACGATATCCACGCGGAGTCAAGGCACTGCGACACGACTGCTACGTCGACGACGTGGTCACCGGCGCCGATAGCTTGGAAGATGCTATCGACCTTCAGCAGGAACTACGGAGTCTTTGCACGGCGGGCGGATTTCCTTTGAGAAAGTGGGCCGCCAACGATCCTCAGGTGCTCACAGGAATTCCACCAGAACATCAGCTGCAACGTGGGCCGCACTCATGGGAAGAAGAGAGTCACGCTACCCTGGGCCTCCGATGGCATCCTCAAGGCGATTGGTTCTCCTTCTCAATTCGTCCACGTCCAGTCACTGATCTCACAAAGCGACGAGTTCTAGCCGAAACGGCTCGGCTCTTTGATCCGATGGGTTGGCTCGCGCCTGTCGTCATCAGAGCCAAAATTCTGATCCAGACGACGTGGCTTCAACGGCTGGATTGGGACTCTCCGCTGCCTGATCAGGACGCACACCGCTGGAGGCAGTTGTTGGATCAGCTTCCTCTATTGGATAACATCCGTGTAACTCGCTGGCTCAACACCGGAGACGACCATTCGCAACTGCAGCTCCATGGGTTTGCCGACGCTTCAGAGCGAGGATACGCCGCCGTGGTGTACATCCGCAACGCTGCAACAGAAAAAACGTCAATCAACCTATTGATGGCAAAATCGAAGGTCGCGCCTGTCAAGCAGGTGTCGTTACCTCGCTTGGAACTCTGTGCAGCAGCTCTACTTACCACGCTCATGCTCCACGTGCGCGCTACTCTCGGTTTGACAACGACGCCGGTGCATCTGTGGTCAGATTCAAGGGTCACACTTCATTGGATCCGCGGACACAGCACCCGTTGGAAAACCTTCGTCGCCAACCGAGTATCTCAGATCCAGACCCTGCTTCCAGACGCTCAATGGAGACACGTCGCTGGACGAGAGAATCCTGCAGATTGCGCATCGCGCGGTGTTACTCCTGCTGAATTAATCAATCATGAGTTGTGGTGGACAGGACCTACCTGGCTCTCAGGAGACGAGACTGCATGGCCGGGTTCAAACATCGACGTCCCAGAGGATGACCTCCCGGAGCAGCGAGCCACCAGTCTGGTAATCAAGGCACCGGTCTCGGCAGAACCTGACCTCCTCCTCCGGTTTCCAACGCTGCACAGGCTGCTGCGGGTTACGGCATGGTGTCGGCGATGGCTCAATCAGGCGAGACGTGACGCCATACCTGGCCGTCCATTGCATCCGGACGAGCTGGACGTCGCCTTATTTCGATGGCTGCGAGTGGTGCAGGCGCTCCACTTTCCTACGGACGTAGCTGCGGCTTCTGCTGGACGCACTAGCCCACCACGAAGCCACCTAGCGATGTTGAGTCCGGTCCTCGATGATCAAGGCGTGCTGCGCGTCGGAGGACGTCTCAAACATGCTCAGCTACCACTCGACGAGAAACATCCAATGATCATCCCGGCGGCATCATGGTTGACTCGGCTGGTGATCGATTCCTGCCACCGACGGACGCTGCACGGAGGTGTGCAACTGACTCTCGGCCTGCTCCGCCTGCGCTTCTGGGTGCCTCGAGGAAGGACCACCGTCAAACAGCAGCTACACCGATGCATAACCTGCACTCGATGGCGCGCCGCCACACCACAGCCTCCGATGGGTAACCTTCCTCGGGAGCGAGTAACGCCAACTCGACCGTTCCTCAGCACCGGCTTGGACTACGCGGGACCAATCCTCCTCCGGACCAGCAAGGGGCGTGGACACCGTGCGCACAAGGGGTACATCGCAGTCTTCGTCTGCTTCTGGTCAAAGGCCGTTCACTTAGAAGTCGTCTCAGACTACACCTCGGAGGCCTTCATCGCCGCTCTGCGCCGCTTCGTCTCCCGCAGGGGCCTGTGTGCTGAGATCTACAGCGACTGTGGCACGACTTTCATCGGAGCAGATCGGACGCTGCGAGGTCTCTTCAACGCAGCGACAGCCGAAGGTCAAAGTGTCATCCTTGCCGCCACCGCTCAAGGAATCCGCTGGCACTTCAACCCGCCAGCGGCCCCGCATTTTGGTGGTTTATGGGAGGCCGCCGTAAAGTCGACCAAGTTCCACCTCCGTCGGGTGATCGGCGCGACCACCCTCACGTTCGAGGAGTTGAGCACACTCCTTGCACAAATTGAAGCCTGTCTTAACTCACGTCCGTTGCAGGCACTCTCAGATGATCCAGAGGACGTCTCGGCGCTGACCCCCGGTCACTTCCTCATCGGGACACCGCTCCTCGCCTTGTCAGAACCGTCATTGACAGAGCAGACGGTGTCCACCTTGTCACGTTGGCGTCATCTGCAGCGGATGAGGGATCACTTCTGGCAGCGATGGTCATCCGAATACATGCACGGACTCGCCCCACGCACCAAGTGGCTCAAGGATGCACCTGCACCCCACGTCGGCGATCTCTGCCTCGTTCGCTCCGAGATCACCCCCCCGAACCGATGGCCCCTCGCTCGCATATCGCGTTTGCACCCCGGGGACGATGGAGTTACACGCGTAGTGACGATCCGAACGGCCACGTCCGAGCTCGTGCGCCCACTCGTCAAGCTCGTGTTTCTTCCGGGCGTGAACGACGTTCCTACACCGCACGTTGACACATAGCATCACTCACTACACGATCATCACGTCATGCACCATATCAACTGTCACACTTCACTCATTTCACTCATCACCTCACTATAACACTTGTCTCGTTTTCACCGCTCACTGCATCGTTCACTCGCCGTTCACATCTGCCACATGCTTTCGCCGTTTCAGCTGATCGATTCGCAACACGTGATCACCACGTGTTTTCGTCGACTCAGCTGATCGACTCACAACACGCGATCATCACGTGAATTTCGCCGCGCCGACACGAGCCCGCCCCACCATCAACCGCTATCGGAATGTGATCCGCGCAGGAAACATCATCAACCTTTTGTCACGTTGCGCCAAGGCGGGCGGGATGTTTGAGATGCAAAATAAATCTTATCGTCTGTTAATTACTTCGGCAGTAAAACGTTATTAGGATTTTCAATTTATACAAAATTCGATCTCGAAAATAGTTATTTGGTAAATTCTGGAATCATCGATCAGTAATAATAAAGTCACGTTTGTTTTGTATAATAGAATAAAAAGAAGTCGTAAATTTACAGCTGTCACATAAAAAACGCTCAAATATACAAACAAGTAACGGTGTCGCAACCGTTCCGCCGAATAATTACATGCTATTGAGCATGCGCTACTTTAAAAATCACGCAAATTATTGGCGCTTCACGCGAAGGTGGGCTCCGCTCCAAAATTTATAAAAGAGGAGCTCACCCCGGCGTAGGGGCCTTATCGCTTTCCGCCGTGTACGCGTAAGTCAAAACCGCCTCAAAAAAAACCGCAGAACATTTATATCGACAACCGCCGCTCTTTCTTTGATTTGATTTCTCCGCTGAAACTAATTAAACTTTATGTTAATTTTGTGCGTGTAATTGTTAAATATTGTACATTATATTTTAGTAAAGATTTGTATATTAAAGGTTTCTTTATACTACAAGTGACTCATCCTTTGTCGTGTCGCGCGATTCCTCACGCAGCGCGTTCGCGAACAATCGCTCTTTCGGAAAAAGTTAGTAGTGTCAATTTATTTTCCCCTCAAAACTAACTTTTATTTGAAACATTTTTCTCTAGTTTCTAGAGTTTCTAGAGCAGTTTTTGCTGTTAATTGTACTTGAACGAAAAAAATAATTAAATGATTTAAATATAGCACATTTTAAATCAAGAAACTTATATAATCGAACTCTGTTTAGGAAAAGGTAGAACATTTCATTTGCCTCTGCCTTTACAAGAAACATTGGATAAGGTATGTCCTCCGGAAGATCCTATAAATTTGAATCACGAGTTGCACATTCTCGTTCGAGGTATACCCAAGAAATCTAAAGTGGTTTGGGAAAATTTGGTAGATATTAATAAAATGGATAAGGTTTTACAATGGTTGAAAGAAAATAATCCTCATTACTCAAAAATTTGTCTTCCAGCGTCATCTGATGATCTATTAAAGGATAAGTTGCAGGAAACAGAATATAGGATTGTCGATGAGGAAAGCGACAATGACGAAATAAATGAGGTGGTTGAGGAATTACCAGCATTCAATTTGTACAATGTACAGCGAAACAAAAATAATAATGATCAAACCGTTTTAAAACGTACGGCTTTTCTCACACAAATCACTGAACATTCGGATATTAACGATCAGTATACAATATACCCAATACACGCGAAAAGAATCGATAACGAATCTGCATTGAAGCTTTATCAAATGGTGAAAATTGAAGATTTTCCAATGGATAATCGTTATAAATATCTGGATGTCATGTGTTTCCCTGATTTATATCCTGATGGTGTCAATGGACAACGAGAAGATAGAAACTTTGCATTGCCGGAATATTTATTTATTAGAACACGATTGATGTCGAAACATAGTAGATTTAGGTTGAATCTGCAGTATCTGTTCTTCCTTCTCAATGATGCTAACTACCGACAGTTGAAAAGTGGTATCTATTATACGATGATGGTTACTAACCCACGAGAGAGATACACTGCTGGTAGATACTTGAACGAATTGAAAGGTTACCAATTAGAATCGAATTTAATGAGTATTTTCGCAAAATTGAGAAATACGGATCAATTTTGGCGACAACCGTCCAATAATGTAAAATGCATGACTTTGCATTACGGTCCAGCGACGTGGTTTTTGACTTTGAGTCCTAGTGAATGGAAATGGTCCGATTTGGGTGAATATTTACGAGATATGAATCCCGATAAAGAGAAGTTAGGCATCAGCGAACTAATCGCATACGATCCTGTAAGTACTTCTAGATTCATGTGCATAAAATTCAAAGCCATGATTGATTTTATTTGTTCGTCCGATAATCCAATAGGAAAGGTTATTCATTACTTCTGGCGACTGGAATATCAACGTAGAAGTATCCAGCACATGCATTGTATGATTTGGATAAAAGATGCTCCAGTATTAGGAAAATCGCCGGATGAAGAAGTTGCTACGTTTATTCAAAAATACGTAACGTGTGAAATTCCAGATGAAAATGTTTCGCCAACGTTGTACGATACGGTAATAAGTGATCAGAATCATAAACATAACTCGTATTGCATGCGTACGAAAAAAACGGAAACTAATATATACAGAAAGTGTCGGTTCGATTTTCCTCGGCCAGTTACTGAGAATTTCGTTTTAAGAGACGTTATCACTTCGATAGTCGGTAGAAAAAATTTACGCAGTAAGAGCAGATTGTACGATCTTCCTCGCAAGGAGTCGGAAAAGTTTATAAATGATTATAATCCGTCTATCAAATTAGCCTGGGAGGGAAATATGGACATACCATTTATTAGAGAAAAATCAGAGTTTTTAAACTCATATTTAACAAAATACACGACAAAGTCGGAAAAATGCAATACAGACTTTGAAGTGATAGATTCGAATAAGTCCTTGACATCAAAACTGTGGAATTTTGCAATGCGTTCATTAAATAACAGAGAATGCGGTGCTTTAGAAGCTGCGGATACACTATTATGGAATCCCTTGTACGGTACGGATAATGATACCATGGTCAAATGGATTGATGTTAATGAGGTGAGAAATAGAAAAGTTAAAACATTTAATGAAATTTAAGCTCTCGATGAAAATTCTACGAATATTTACTGTTCGTCACTCATCGATAATTACTATCCAAATAGACCTCAGGAATTAGAATCATTGAATTTGTACGATTTTGCCAGATTCTGGGAAATTACGAAACAGATGTCAAATAATGACGAAGTCAAGTGTTACAAACTGGCATCGGGTTTATTTAAAAAAAAACGAAAAGGGTTATTTAATTAACCATTATCGATTTAATATAAAAACTGAACCCGAAAAATACTTTTACTCGCTGCTTCTGTTCAAACCATGGAGAGATTTGAGTGAACTCAAAGGTACATTCGAGACTTACACGGATGCCTTTAAGAATTCAGAGTCTGTTTTAACGAAGGCAATGAAATATCACGAAAGGCTCGAAGAAATACAGAAATTTTTTGAGAACGTTGCTGAATTAATCGAGAAGCGCGAAAATGATCTGAAAACAGCAGACAGAGACAAATCCGATGACGATGAACTGGATTGTAATCCGATAAAAGCTGACGACGCGATGAAAGATCTGGAAGATTTTGGTAAGATTGACGACCCGATTGATTTATCGCAAATGATGTCGCATTTGAACAAAGACCAGAAAAGAGTCTTTGATGGAGTATGCCAAGTTTTACAAGATAAAAATCAGATTCTGCGACTGTACGTAAGTGGCGAGGGTGGTACAGGGAAAAGTTTTCTAATTGAAACGATTAAACATTGAATCAGAATAAATTTGGAAAAAACGACTACCATATCTGCTCCCACGGGTATCGCAGCATTTAATATCGATGGCTTGACAATCCATAGAATGTTTCAACTACCGGTTAGTCATGAATCTACACCAAAATATACGCAATTGTCAGACATGGTCTTGAAAATTTTGAGAGACAAATTAAAGAATGTCGAATTATTTATAATCGAAGGAATTACATGTAACAATGCAATGATGGATTTAGGAACGACTGTATTCAGTGATGGTCAAGCCTATGTAGGTTTGTCACGAGTAAGTAAATTGGAAGGCCTACATTTGATAAATTTCAATCCAGCATCAGTTAAAGCAAACTCGAGAGCCATTGTAGAATATAATCGACTGAGATCTATATTCAAATCTGAACTGCCACAAATCAATCCGTCCGAGAAAAAGGTTGTGAAAATGTACGATCGTCGATGGGATATCCCTAATATCATTCTGAGTCATTAACAAATTGGTACTCTGGAATTACGAGCAATTATTTTCATTGTACGGGCTAGTATAAATTTCAAATCAAATCTCTATAAACGACTATTATACAATATTTTGTGCACTAAGAATAACATATCGCACTTATTCTCTAGAATCAAATTGTAATCAGTTTTACTTATATGTATGTATATTCAATGTGAACTTGCACCTTGAATAAAATATCACAGTTACTTTTCATGGTAATATATTATTACTAAATTTAGATAATATACACTTTACGTATGTTCACTTTGAACTGGCACCTTGAATAACATATCAGTTACTTTTCGTGATAATTTATTATTAGATCGTTTAAATTTTTGAGTACCTTCTTTTGAACACGGCCTGACCTTTCATTTTTATGATTTTTTTAGGATATATATATATATATATATATATATAACGTAATTTTGTCATTCTTTATTTTCGACTTATTTTGACTTGACGAATTCATTCCCCAGAAATGCGGTGTAACTTATGATATACCCTGTATATATATATTTTCTGACGAAAAGTTTATTTTGCATTTATTATAAATATGAACTTTCTATATATTGTATATATTTAAATTTTATTGTATCTTAATTCATAAAATATTTATATTATTTAATATTATTGTTCAATAAATAATATTCTTATCTTCAATAAATAATATTGTTCTTATTTAATGCAATTTTGTTTTTTTGCTGTAATATTAAAACAATTGATCTAGGGCATATGTATATTAGGAGACGCGGTAGTGTCTCCGGCCATGTTTAAACCCTAAAAGACCTTAAAAAAGACACTACAAGTCTTTTATCCTGCACCATCAAAGTCCATTATTTGGGGGTGTAGAACTACTATAATATAAAAATTTTGAATTGCACGTAATATAACCTGAAAGGCGGCATTGCCACGAGTAATTTGAGCCAAGAAGGAATAAAATCGGTCAAGCCGTTCTGGATATACAAGCGGTCAAAAAGTGACGTTTTTCATGAAAAATGAAGTAACGTCGTTTTCTTCTTCTTCTTCTTCTCTGTCCGCGTCCGCTGACGTCATCAGAATTATATATATCTTAAAAAAATCATAAAAATGAAAAGGTCAGGCCATGTTCAAAAGAAGGTACTCAAAAATTTAAACGATCTAATAATAAATTATCACGAAAAGTAACTGATATGTTATTCAAGGTGCCAGTTCAAAGTGAACATACGTAAAGTGTATATTATCTAAATTTAGTAATAATATATTACCATGAAAAGTAACTGTGATATTTTATTCAAGGTGCAAGTTCACATTGAATATACATACATATAAGTAAAACTGATTACAATTTGATTCTAGAAAATAAGTGCGATATGTTATTCTTAGTGCACAAAATATAATAGTCGTTAATAGAGATTTGATTTGAAATTCATACTAGCCCGTACCATGAAAAATAATTGCTCGTAATTCCAGAGTACCAATTTGTTAATGACTCAGAAAAATAACATGGCGGCCTGCTCTCAAAAACTATGATGTTTCTCGATGTCCATTTAGAAATAATGTCGAAGCTCTTACAGAATAATTACTACAACATTTGAAATACGAAAAGTATTACATTAGAAGAAGATTAGATTAGAATAAGGATTCAACGTATTTTTAAAAGCTCTACACACACAACGAAGTGAATATACAAAACTATATACAAATACCTTTTCTTCTGTGTTTCTGAAGAAAATTGTAAGTCAAATGAAACCTTGCTCTTTGAGAACCATGTCACTTACTTTTCAGAGTCAAATTGATAAATTTTTTTTGTATATTTTAATGATATTTATTTTTCACTTGTATCTTGAATAATTAATATGTAATTTTTTATTGTATATTACGACAAATAATTTGTAAACTTTTTAAGCGTATAGCTTTATTGTAGTTGACCTGAGAACTGTACATTTATAAATTTTACTTAATATACACCCGTTTCGAGCAACAAGGCAAAGTTTTCTGATCAATAACTTACTCCCTGAAAATACGGTATAACACAAATCGGAAGTTGATACGAAAATTCGAAATTTTACTAAAGAAAGATTGGAGGTTTTTAATTTATACAATTTTCACAACTCTTATTTCAATTATTTATTCTACCCATCGAAAGTTTTTTGAGAGCAGGCCGCCATGTTATTTTTCTGAGTCATTAACAAATTGGTACTCTGGAATTACGAGCAATTATTTTTCATGGTACGGGCTAGTATGAATTTCAAATCAAATCTCTATAAACGACTATTATATTTTGTGCACTAAGAATAACATATCGCACTTATTTTCTAGAATCAAATTGTAATCAGTTTTACTTATATGTATGTATATTCAATGTGAACTTGCACCTTGAATAAAATATCACAGTTACTTTTCATGGTAATATATTATTACTAAATTTAGATAATATACACTTTACGTATGTTCACTTTGAACTGGCACCTTGAATAACATATCAGTTACTTTTCGTGATAATTTATTATTAGATCGTTTAAATTTTTGAGTACCTTCTTTTGAACATGGCCTGACCTTTTCATTTTTATGATTTTTTAGGATATATATAATCCTGATGACGTCAGCGGACGCGGACAGAGAAGAAGAAGAAGAAGAAGACGACGTTACTTCATTTTTCATGAAAAACGTCACTTTTTGACCGCTTGTATCTCCAGAACGGCTTGACCAATTTGATTTTTTCTTGGCTCAAATTCTCGTGGCGATGCCGCCTTTCAGGTTATATTACGTGCAATTCAAAATTTTTTATATTTTAGTAGTTCTACACCCCCAAAAAATGGACTTTGATGGTGCAGGATAAGAAGACTTGTAGTGTCTTTTAAGGTCTTTTAGGGTTTGAACATAGCCGGAGACACTACCGCGTCTCCTAATATATATGTATAATATAATTATACATATTTATTTATGTATATTATTTATGTTATATGTATATATAGATTTTGGATTAAGCATCGCTTTCCTGGAGTGATTGGTTGTATAGACTGCACTCATGTAGCAATTGTTCCACCTCCTAAAGAAGATGAGAATTATCCTGAACATATATATGTAAATAGAAAAGGATATCATTCAATTAATGTACAATTGGTAAGATTGCGCCTTAACACACACAATTCATTTAAGTATATTATTTAAGTATATTATTAAACAAATAATATAAGTACAGCTTTATTTGCAGATATGTGATTCTGATCTTAGGATTATGAATGTTAATGCCCGATATCCAGGAAGCACGCACGATTCGTATATCTGGAATAATAGTAATGTTCTTCCTATAATGCAAGATATTTACAATCGTGGACACAACTTTTTTTTACTAGGTAATATGTAATAAAAATGATTATTAAATATTACGTACTTTATGATTCGCGCATGATGCGCATGAATAAGTGACAGACAATCTATAGTTTATGTTACGCATATTACACATTTTCTGTCACTTCATGTGCATCATGTGTGAATCGAAAATACCTATTGTTTTTAATTACAATGTATAACATTATATTGCTTTACAGGTGATTCGGTTATGCGCTTAGACTTTGGATGATGACTCCAATAATGGACAATAATCTTAATATTGCAACAAGAAGATACAATGATCGGCAAAAGAGCACTAGATCGCTTATTGAACGTTGCAATGGTGTTTTAAAGATGAGATTTCATTGCTTGTTAAAACATAGAGTGCATTACCGACCAGATGTGTGCTCAAAAATTATCAATGCTTGTACCATATTACATAATATGTGCATTCATGATAAAGTGCCTTTACCTGATGAAGCATTTGAAGATGAAGTATTGGATTTTGGTATGCTAAATGTTATGGATGGTGTAAACGAACCCGGAATAAATTTAAATAGAAATATTGAACTAATAGCTGGAAGAAGAATTCGCAATAATCTAATACGACATTACTTCTCTTGACAATATTTTATACTTTTTGTACACATGCATGTACACAATTGTATTTCTAATTGTAATAACGTGGCAGTAAATAACAATATTTGTTTTGGACATTATATTATGATACAACAAAGATTGCTTACCATTAGCACATTGGATTCTTGCACTGTCTTATGTCCTTCCACGACTGTTGTACCCATAAGTGCCAGAACATTTTGATCTGTTTCAGATAAGACTTGACTTGATGCAGGCCCTCCACCAGTTGCTTTTGCATGATTCTTGATCAAAGCATTTTTGGCTTAGTGGAACTTCGCATGTCTTGCCAAGTCTATGATACAGGCAGAAAGTAAACCATCAGATTATTTAAAGTATATAATTTTTCTTTCTGTAAAAAGAAGTTTTGCTATCTGTCAATATAATACATACCTTTCGCTATTGTTTCCATTCTTTTTGTGCACCAGGTATTTCATGTAGTTCTGCTGTTACTTTTTCCCACAATTTTTGAGCATGTTTATAAGTAAACGTTGTAGAAAACTTTCCACTCTGTAGCTCTGGATGTTTACGCATAAATTCTGCAATTAAAATATATATATAGAGCACTGTATTGAAAGATTAATAAATAATAGTTACTATCAATCTATTAAGCGGCTTTTACCCATTACATATCTTTAAATACAAATTACAAATTTTCAATGTGAACAAGTTCAATATGAGAGAGTTTAAAGCAAATTTTATTAGACTGTAACAAATTGAAGGCAATACTTACCAACCAGCAAACTTTTCTGTTCTTCATTAACATATGTACATCGTTTCTCACTTCATTTGATGCTAATGCCATTTTAATTCGATTTTCACTATTATTATATATTTGTTAACTGTAACAAAATTTGCACTTACCAATTTTAACTAAGATCACAGAATTTTTGTTAACACAGTTCAACTGCGTTGTACAAATTTAGGTTAGACTGACAATGAATTTCAAATTCACTACAATATATGCGACATAAACTATAGATTTCCAGTACGTAGAATTTCGGAACACACAACCTTTCTCGCATGCGACATTTATCGCAGACCTCATATCGCATGATAGTTGAGAATACGATTCTGAAGTCACATGCGATACGGACCGTGCGATATTTTTCGCATGCGACAATTATCGCATGCATTCAAGAATAGAGCCCCAGGAGGCTTCGTGGTGGATTCCCGCCCGTAGTATCCCGAGGGACTATCAGGCGGGGGACCGACCTAAAACCTGACTGAAGCCCCTGGTCGTATGGGTATTATTCACCGCGGACCGCTCACGCATTATTTCACGGTGGATACCCGACCGGCGTCCTTTGGAATGACACATCCTTTCGGAAGGACACTACAGGCATTCCCTCCGGAGAAGACAATACCCCTTGCCCCGAAAGGGCATCGGAGGGAGCCGGGACATTCACATCCACAACAAAAAAACCCAAAAAGGGCCACAGGCCCAGCCCTCTAGGGGCCACAACGAATGCACAGTGGCCGACCACAGGTAAAGGTGGTTGCATGATGTTCACACCACCTATGGACGAAGGACAGAGAACTGATACAACATGAACTTGGCGCAGGTGAAGAGGCCGCGGAGTCACCTTGCGGCAACCTCCCCGCACTCAAACATCCATCGCCGCTAACCTACTAAACATAGACTTGCGGAGCAGGAGACCACGGAGTCACCTTTCGGCAATCCCCCCGAACCCCCCGCATCCACCGCTACACACTACGACCAAAGGACAAAACAACACTAGACGTTGGAGCAGAGCTGCAGCCCGGCACAGGAAGCCACCTCTCCGTGACCTCCCCGCCCCCAGACTGCAGTCTACTCCCACCCACTCGGGACTATCGTGAGCACCCCCAGCAGGGGGGGGGGGGGGAGCCCGGAGCCTGCACGCACGCCGAGGCAGCCTCCGTCTCCATAGGCCGTCCCCCATCGGGACGACCCGTAGCCTGGCACCTATCGCCCACCTCGGTGTTTCGTTGCCCCGGGCGGAGGGGGGAGCGAAACGCACCCGACCACCCAGGACATGTCCAGCCGACTCCCCACCGTCCAGACAACCGGACAACGGGGAGTGGCGACACACCACCCCGCCGCTTGGTGTCCCTCCACACCACAGCGTTACAACGCCGCGAGCGATCCACGTCGGACGCACAATTCACTCGCGCGTGCCCAAACCTAAGGCACCTGTAGCACCTCAAGGGGCGGGCGCGAAGCAGCTCCACCCCGAGTGGGTTAAAACCTACCCTTAACTTACCCGCCAACACAGCCTTCCGACCAGGGGCCAGCGGGCAACGCACTCACAATGTACTCAGGGAGGACCCGCGGAAGAGACCGAATCGATCCGAGTCGGACATCCCCCGCACCACATTCTCCCAGAGATGTAAGCG